AGAATCTTGAATATATCTGCATCTTCTTTTAGTATGGCGTCTTCAGAATCTTTACGTGCGGAATGTTTCCTCCATTGCTTGGTTTTCATGATCTCCTCAGTCTTCTTTAATTTGGAAGTTCCAAAATCGTGTAGCAGCACTACTTCCATATATTCAATATTTGGAGAATCTTGTCCCAGCTGCTTCATATCTACGTGATCCTCTTTCCATATATTCTCATATTGTGTCCTTGTCTTAGTGTCACATTCCAATCCTCCATGTAACATGTTTCTGCAATAAATAATGAAATAAATCACAAGTATCTATATGAATAAATAAACAAAGAAAGGAACTTAATAATCAAAGGAGCTTCCCTTTATTTTGTCTTGCTTCTTTTGCAAGTGAATTACAAAAAAATATAATTAAACTACAAGATAACCCGAATGATTCCAATTCTAGCTTCTAACAATCTCTCCATTTGGCATTCAGTTCGAAACTCTAATTTCTGTAGTCATAAAAACAAGTTAAGTTCATAGTAAGGCCAAAATAGAGAAAAATAACTATGTGACAACATTGACCGAAGTTCCTATATAACCACAACGAAACACATAGAGATGAATTAGACCCTGCAATAGGACAGATAAACACATATGAAATACTGTAACAAAACATCAAATACTATAACCTAAATGAAAAACCTCATGTTCTTTCATTCTGCAGGAAAAACATAACACGCAAATTGTTGAACACATGCCATAAAACACTCCACCAGCTAAACAAAGTATTTAAGTCACAATCCAACAAAAGTAAAATATAGAGTGTGTGTCCTCACTACCTTACTACCTCACTCTGAAAAGTCCTCAAAATACTTTGGACCGATCTCCTCATTTGAATTCTTCTCCAGGGTATCTCACTGACCACTTGTTGCTTCCCTTTGGAACGGATCTTGCCCCTGGACATCAGAGACTCATGTTTGTATTTTTTTTAGCTGAGTTGATCGAATGATCTACCTTGGGTTATCTTATCAAAGAAGGTTGTTCGGAGCTTTGGTTACTAACTAGATGTCAAACGCACAAAAAGTGAAAACAAGGTCCTACACATTTTATGTAAGTAGATTTGTGTAGCTAAGTTAACCTAGGAAACTAAAAGCAATTAACTAAAGGTGTGAACTAATTAAAGATCTGAACTTTGGTAACATGGAGTCCCACAACTCGAGGAAAACAAAAATAAGACAAAGTGAAACATGCGAGTACTAAGATCCCATGATGTTAAAACGATCCTTCTAACCTAATTGATCAAGTTTTCAACCAAGTCTCAACCTTTAATATAATATAAAGTACGTAATTAACTTCTAACTTAACTAATTTATTTTTCAAGAAATTAATGTTGCTAGCGCATTAAATCTAAAGAGCTTATTCAAAGTTGCCCTCTAGTTTGGTTTAGTC